GAATTTTTTTCCGGAATGATGCGGTCTAGAGTCTGGCAACATGTGCTTGTCATTGTAATTTTTCCCCCTCTGCTTTCAGTGAGTGGCTAAATCATACTTGTGTTTAACAAGGTGCAGTTTTCCCTTACAGTCACTACACCAAACTCTTCCAAAATATCATTTCTACGTTCAGTGTTGTCCTGCATCAAGGACATCAATTTCTATCTTAGAAGGGGAAGATAAAAATACCACTTAATTCAATACTGTCATTCCAACAATATCTACTTTCATAGGCACACAAAACAGCTAACTGTAGCCATCTGAATCCTGTGTGGGTTTACAGGGAGGGTAAAAATTGAGGGATTTTCATTTTCTTTGTCCTGGTTTGTTTCCCTATTGGGTTTTCTCAGTTGGCAACCCTCCAGGTCTTCCCCTGCACCCTGAGCACATGCCATGCCTTCTCATAGCCTTTCCAAGCTGCTAAAAAAGGCTGGACCTTTGGTACTTGGATCACAAAGATCCCCAATGCTGTGAGAGGGACAGGAGCACCTGCACATTACCCAGCTAATACTTGCCTTCTGTAAGGAGCGTCGTTGCTTTCTCCTTGTGATCACGGTCTGTAGATCCTTCACTTGAGGACATCCAGCGTCAGGAAACCTTGAACTGAGCACTGGCATTGCCAGAAACCTGAGTTTGAATGTTATTTTAGATACAGGAGCTAGCCTGGTAGATGTGTTTTGCACTGGACTTTGGTTGAGTATCAGTGGAAACAAGAATGCTTGGGACTGTAGTTATGTCTGCATGATTGTAGGACATGTTTTTGTAGGAGTGTGAGTTCTGCTGTTAAATATGTTTGTGGGTTGTGATGATCTCATTGCACTGAACAAGGAGATGCCCAGGTAAACCTGGGGGTTTGAAGCCCCATCTTTTTTCTAACCCCAAATTCATGCTCTCACAAGTACACAGCATGTACATGTCTTATTATTGATCTGATTGATGCTTATCCTTAAAGGGAGGGTGTCAAGAGGATGGGGCTGGTCTTTTTTCAGTGGTGCCCAGGGACAGGACAAGAGGAAATGGGCACAAACTTGAATAGAAGAAGTTCCACCTCAACATGAGGAGGCGCTTCTTTATTTTGAGGGTGGCAGAGCCCTGGCAGAGGCTGCCCAGGGAGGTGGTGGAGTCTCCTTCTCTGGAGACATTCAAACCCACCTGGACACGTTCCTGTGGGACCTGCTCTGGGTGGCCCTGCTTTGGCAGGGGGTTGGACTGGATGATCTCCAGAGGTCCCTTCCAACCCCGTGTGATTCTGTGATAGGGATTTGGAAACAGAGTGCATTTGCTTTCAGCAGAGTGTCTTTGACTAGCAGAACCAAAAGTGTTTCAACACAGCCAAGTTTAAGGCAGTCACACCCTAACCAAAGCAGATAAAGCGTGGTGGCTCTCTGCTGGGCTCAGATGCTTTGGGAGATGGCAAAGGAGGGATTTGCATAGGGAATGTTATAACTGAATGTAGGGAAGCAAGGATTCTATGATTTTGGGAGAGCATTCTGCTTCGATCCCCTGCTTTCATTAATGGAGTTCTGTTGGCTGTTTATTACCAAGGCCATTTTCATGCAAACAGGGTCAGAGTTTGCTAATCTACCTGCTGCTTCTGCTTATGCCTCGTCTGCAGCCCTAATCCACCCTCCCTCATATCCCCGTTGGTTGCTATAGCAATGATAGTGCTATGAAAAAGGCAGGATTACGCTTAAAAGTATGGCTGATGTTACCTTTTTCTTTCTCCCTCATGGGGAGGAGAAAAACAGGGATTTGTCTGGTGTATTATTGTTTTATCTAAAACTTTAACTGCAGGCTCTTTGGAGCCTGAATGCAGTCCTTCTCTCTCAGCATCCTGTGTGGTTGGGAATAGATGATCTCCAGAGGTCCCTTCCAACCCCAAACCATTCTGTGATTGATTCTGTGAATGTTGCAGCTCTAAAGCACTTAGGGATTAAAAAGAGCACAAATTAATGAATACGAGGTACGTATCATTTCGTATTTAAGATACCAATGGTTACACTTACTGTGACCCACTGAAAGTGTGAAGCTTGCTGTGGCCAGCCCACCGTGATGGGGACCTGCTCTTAGGGTGCTTAGGGTCCAGTTGGGTTTCTGAGAGTATTAGAAGGCAGCTGAACATGTTAGCAGTCAGTTTGGTTTGGATTTGCATCAGGAGAATTACTCAGCACTGCCATCGAAAGTGGTGTTTTGATCAGTAAATTAAAAAAAAAATCCTAATGCCCTCAGCAATCAAGGGAGAGGAAGGCAGAAAAAGCAGTATTTTCACTCAGTAGCTGCATACGGGACTGGGTGACTGTTTTGTTGTACTAAGCCCCCTCTTTTACACGCCCGAGAGAGCAAAAAATGACTTACTCTGATTTTTAACTTTATGCCAAGTCTATAGTCAGAATCACGTATCTGCATTAAGAGTTGCCAGAAACGACACAGTTTGTAACAGCCCAAAAAACCCAGGTTTGGGTGAATTTAGCTCACCTCAAGCTCAAGCGTTCAAACCCACAGGGCGGGTATGTTCTTCCCCGTGTCAAATCTCACAGGGACTGAGTTGGAGATTGGGTAAAATCTCACATGGGAGGATTCTATCACTTGTGAATTGGTGGTCGGTGTTAGCTCTGGACGTTGCCGTGACCTGTAATATAAGTGACTCCCTTTTTGAATCTTTTATGGCCCAGCTTGATTAAAGGTGGGATGAAAGCAGAAAAAAATTTTAATGGACTTAGTACTCACACTGGTATAAAAGAAGAGAAGTGGTTCCTACAGTCTCTCGTCCAAGATTGATGGAAAATACATTACCAGAAAGAATTGACTCATTTACCTATTAGTTACATTCAAGGTTGCTTAGTTAAGCATTCATATAATGTTTTCTTACAGGAGACAGCTTTGTTTCCTTATTTCCAAACACAGCAGTTCATCTTGCTTTCCATCAGCATAGCCAAAAATATCAGGTGAGAGAAAACAAGTCTTTTTTTTCCCCAAGCTGCATGTGTCAAGGAGCCTCCCTGGCATGCAGCCCCCATACAGCGCCGCCTTCTACTTTGTCCTGTGCTCCAAAGGCCAATGAAGTGATGCTCTAACACCATAAACCTGGGGCTGAGAAGGGCTGGGGGAGGACCAGGGAGAGGCAGGAGAGGGGGCCACTCTCTCCTCTACCTGCCCAGACACAGAGAGACACCATCTGGGAGAACATGGGCTCTACCTAGCCTTAGGTTTGGCCAGTTTTTTGCTTTTTTTTAAAGATAATTAGTAGGCAGCCAGAGGTCCTTAGGGCTTATATATCTTCAGCAACTCCATCCAAAAAAAAAAAAAAATTAAAAAAGAAAAAGAGAGGATAGAAAAATGAGGTAATTAGTTGCAGAGAAGAAGTTGTACTTAGCACCCCACATACCTCACAAAGACTGCCTCCACCTCTGAAAGAAGCAGATGTGGTCTCCATGCCCCAGCCGTTGACAAAGGCATCCCTTGCCAGGATTGCTGGTTTTGGGGATTAATTAGCTTTTTAGTGGCTTGTTTGGTTTGGTGCTCTCAGATGTTGGTGACAGCTGACAGAATGAGCAGTCAAGTGAGTTGAGCCCTCTGACAGCCCTGTCCTGACAAACTCTAATTGCCTCACCAAAAACTTTCGTTCCTGGTGGAAAGGTTTGTCTGAAGAGTTTAGCCCTTGAGGTGAAAACCATGGTGTGTCCTTGAGTATTCCTGCTCTAGGTCTCTACTGATGACAGTGGGAATGGCCTTGGGGGCAAGTTTTTGAGTCAGTTGTCTCTTTGGATCCCAGAAGAGATTCGGAGGAAAGATTAAATGGGCTGCCCAGGGAGGTGGTTGAGGCCCCATCCCTGGAGGTGTTCAAAAGAGGGGTTGATGTGGTGCTGGGAGGTCTGGTTTAGTGATGATGCTCCTTGTTTGTTGTGTGGGTGACTATTTTTGTCAGTTAGGTTGACGGTTGGACAAGATGATCTTTAAGGTCCCTTCCAACCTAGAAGATTCTGTGATTCTGTCCTGTGGGTCAGCTAAAAAGCAGAGGAAGGCTTTGCCTCATGGGTTGATGCCTATAGTAGGAATCAAGGTAGGTCTTGGCAGCCACTTGTCAAGCCTGATGAACCTGAAAAGCACAAGTCCAGAGGCTGCGACTCCAAGGAATAGACCAAAACGGGAGGACAACTGCTGGCTGAGTGGTTGGAAACAACAGCCAAGAGGTCTGGGAGTAGGGAAATAAAGTGTTTGTGGGGCCTTGACATGTGCCTCTCCGTGGCCACTCTCGCTCCTGATGGAAGTCACTGATGGAGCCGTGGTGCTCTCACCTTCAAGGGTGGACTCTGGTGATTGTGGATGTGCTGGACACTGGTACCAGAGCAGCAGCTGAAGCAACGCTCACCCTCTTCTTAGACATGAGGAACAGCTGCTCTCTGATCAGTGCCAAGAGCCTTCCAAGAGGCTGCCTTCTCCATCCCTTCTTTTTAATTCTGCTTCTTTGATTTTAGACGTGTTGCAGAGGACCAGTAAAAGAGATCCTACCCTGTAGTGGGAGTTGAATGTGCTGTTTTCTATTAGTTCTTATATATATATATATATTATTATTTTTTTTTTTTTACTCATTTGGCACTTTCCAGAGAGTTTTTCCCCCAACATTGTGTAGGCTGCCATCTTTCTTTCTTTGTAGCAAGCATGTGGGCACAGCCTTGCTTACACTCCGAGCGACTGGGGAACCACCATAAATGTAGCTTATCTGCTTTCTGATACATTTTCTTTTGCATTGGTTTGGATTTGTGCATCGTCAGTAACATCTGTTCTGCTTTAGTGGCATACAGTTTTCTGAGTCTAATTAGCTGGCTGCTTGTAATCAAGGAGTATTTCAACTGTTGTCATTCTGAATGTTCTTTTTTCCCTTTTTTTTAAATACCACATTTGCCTGATTGACCTTTTTTTGTTGTTTTTTTTTTCTCTGTCTTTCTATCGGGCTGCTCCAGGAGCCATGGCTAATCATCTTATAACCAATGCTCTGCTTCGTCCTCATGGCACTAACAACCCTTATAATACATTGCTCGGGGAATCGGCGGTCTATAACAACCCTTCTGTCAGCATGTACAACGCACAAGGTGTGCTGGAGTTTCTCTCTAATTTTTCTAGTGAGAATTCCATTTTCTGTGGCTTATTTTGGCCCATTTATATATATATTTTTTTTTCCTTCCTTTTCTTTTTTCTCCCCATGCACACACACTTTGTTTTTTTTGGAACTGGGCAAAAAAAAAAAAAAAGATCCCCTCCCCTTCCTTTCATTTCAGTGCATCTTTCCATTTTCCCCAGGCTTTTTTCCATGAGCAATCAAATTCACTTTGAGAGACCCTCGTCAGTTCTACTCAAAGTATTCATAGTGATTTTGGTTTTGATATTTTTTTTTTTCCAATCTCCTCTGTTTTGTTTTGTATCGTTTTGGTCTCGTGTGTGTGTATTTTGTTGGACGAGTCCATTCCTCTCTTTGTTGTCAGCACATTTCCTCGTTAAACCATTCATTTCAGAAACAGGAACACCTTTGAAGGTAAGTGAAGCTAAAATAGCCTTTGCCACCCAAGCTGCTCTCCTTTGAAATGGCACAAGAGAAATGTGGTCAGCAGTGCACCAGCTTGTGCAGGGAAAAAAAAAAACCAAAAACGCTGCGTTCAAGCACAGGTATATCAGCACTTCGCCAGCTCTTCCCTCCCAGTGAAGCCATCCCTTTCCAGTAAAGGATCTCTGAGGAAGGGAAAAATAAGGATGGTTATAATGAAAGCAGGAAGCCCCCTGTGTGCTATAGGGCAGCATATTGTTTGGGATAGAAATAGATACCGAACTCTATCGCTAGGGTATTTTCATGTGATAGAAATAGATGCTGAACTCTATCACTAGGGTATTATTTTCATGTGATAGGAATAGATGCTGAACTCTATCACTAGGGTATATTTTCATTCAAATCACATGGAAGGCCTACACGTTTGACCTTTCTGCTGTTCATTAATTTCCTAAACTATGCTAACTCTGTTGCAGTAAATTTGCTTCCACGAATGCTTTTTAAAAAAAAACAAAAAAAAAACCAAACTGTTCAAGATGAAACGCTCAGAATTTTAAGAACTTCAGTGTGTCACTAATTTCAAAATGAGCTTTGATGTTCTCTAGTTTTCTGCATGCTAACGTTGAGGTCTGGGGGACTTTCAAATCAAGGGGCAGCAGGTAATGCTGGGTCAGCATTCGACTGGAGAGAATCCTGGTGTTCAAGTCTGGGTGCCTCAACTAAACGTAAGGGATTTCGGCAGAAATGTGACAAAAAAGCTTTTACGTGCATTTTAATAATCTTGTGTTCTTCTAATTTTTAAGACTGAGCTAACAGCATTTTATTCAGTCGCCTGAGCTCACAGTATTTTATCCCACAAAAAACAGTGTAATTTTGCAAGTGCTATTCGGTGCAACACAGCCAGATGGATAACAGAGAAACTTACCCAGTATTCATCCAGGGGAGATGAAGGAAGAGACTGGGACCAGTACCAATCCCATTTAAGCCCCTGAAGCTTTGCCATTGACTTCAGAGGGAGCAGAACCCAACTCATTCTTTCCAGGAGGCTGCAAGTTCATTAATGACCGTACGACTGGTATAGGCTATGCTTTTGAAGCTGGTTACACGCCCTGCACAATTAGATACAGCAGAAATGAGAGTTAACCAAACCAACCAGGCCCAATGGCCCTGGTGGTCCTTTGGGCTGTGGGGGTGCTGGTAACCATCAGGTGATGGTTAGTGCATGGTGAAAGCAGACGCTGTCACCCTTTCTGGCTGGGATTGGCATGGGTTGAGGGCATTGCTACCTATAGATCATCCAACTAATTCATTCCACAATCACTAGGGCTATGATTATTATTATTTTAATTTTTTTTGGACCTTCATCTACCACTTCTAGTACTATGGACCGGGACAGAACACTGTTAAGAAACCTGGGGCAAGACCCAGTCCCCTCCTACCTTTCCCCAAATCCAGTTGTGTGTTTTCAAACACCCTCTCTGCTCAAGCCCGAGCTGCCCCATCTCTGGTAGAGACTCACCAGGGGCTTGGAGCCCTACAAGCACTCCTGAGAAGAGGTGGAGAACCCAACCCTAAGGGGCAGAAGTCCCGTTTCCCTGTGGCAAAAGTGGTTCCCTGATGGGGCACGGAGCATAGAGGAAGGAGGAGATGTGGGGTGAGGGGTCTGGCACCCCACGGCTCATACCAAGCACTCGTGGCCGTTGGCAGCTGAGGGATGTGCACTGGCTCGGTCTCTTGGACACAGGATTTTATCAAAGTGGCTTAACCCCTTTCCTAATTTTAAGAGGAGGCGGCAGTTCCGTTAACGAGCTCCGGTTAAACCCCAGCAAGCCACAGAGGGTTGCAAAGTGGGAAGCTGAGAGATCTCACTGGCTCTTCATCTTCATCTCTGGCTCTTCATCTTCATCTCAAGATGATCTTTAAGGTCCCTTCCAACCTAGAAGATTCTGTGAAACCCTTTCTTCTCAATAGCTTCATTTAGCGATGCCATTCTTTGAACTGCTATCCCTTTAACCTTTTTTTTTTTTTTTTTTTTTCCTCGCAAAGTCCATGTAGTTTGCCATGTGTTAAGTTAAAAAAAAAAAAAAAGAGCAGATTTACCAAAGTTTGTAAAACACCAGCAGCCCCACGATGGGCAAAGTCATACTCCTGCAAAGCACTGTTGCAAAGGATGGACAGCAAGACGTTTTTAGCAAGGAAATAGGTTTGGGTTTCAACTGCCAGGGGTTATTATAACTAACAGTAAGTAAAGCCATTTGTTTTAAGACTTTGGAAGTGATGTTGACAGTGTTTTCAAGTAGGACCGTTACCAGCTTCTAGACTTAAAGTTCCAGGCATTATTTCTTGATTTGTATTGCACGTTGAAACTTTTTATAATGGCATTGGAAAACATCTTAAATGTGATAATTTTTTATTTTTTTTAATAAAAATGTGGTCTATTGAATATTGTGCATAAAATAATTTTTATGTCTAAAATGTCAATATTTTTAACCTGAAATAAACCATGTAACAAATTCATGTATTCTGGGCAGTGGAAATTATTTCCGTTAACTCTCTTTTCTGCATATCATCAACTTGCTTTTTACTCATGTTTCTCCTACTGTCGCTGTAAGCTTACTTGTTGTTTTTTCTTTCCTTTTCTTCATGCTGTCGTTTAGAGCCCTACAGAGAGACAAGTATGGGAGTAAAGCTAAACATTGCATATCAAATGTAATTTTTTTTAGTTCACTTTTATTGCATCACATATAGATGATGTAGTTAATAAAGGAAATTCATCTCACAGTTCTGAAATCAAAAGAATATAAATATACATATGTATGTATACGTGTATGCGTGTGTATGTATGTGTGTGTGTATATATATGTAAGTCTACATATATATAGAGAGATGAGATTAGATGTACTTTGTTTATTTCTCATTTTTTGTGGCATTGTTTACCCAACGTAGTTTCTCTTATAGCTGTGCTTATGATGTGTTTTTGTTTTTTTTTTTAAACTTCACGTTTTTATTTGCGAGGTCATGGCATTTTTATACGGCGTGTTTCCCCACCAAACCCCAGCTCTATGCATTGGTGGCAAGAAGTGCAGCACCCAATGCATAGGTTACTTAATGTGACCATCAGACAGATGCTGTCATACCCCTCACCAATCACATATGGTCCTTTCCCCCCCGCAACCACCCCAAAAATGCTCACTTTTCATTTCTCCTCAAACATCGTGACTCGGTTGGAGAACTTCCACTGTGAAAATCAAGAGGTTTGCTCTATGTCTGTGATGGCAAGTTGATTTTTTTTTTTGGCATAGCCCCCTCGTTTGTTGGGAAACCCGGGGCACAGCAGCACCCTCTAAGCTTCAGAAAACCTAAGAAGTGACCGACGCGTTTTGGGGGCGTTTCACTCAAAAGCGAGAAGAAAGCCTGCAGTAGTGCTTTCCAGCCCTTGACATGCAGCAACTGCTCCATCACAGACATGGACTGAATCTTGCATTTTCGGAAGGCACACATGCCGTGTCCTAAGCATGGTATGAGCAACTCTTCATCTGAAACTGTCAGCTAACAGCATCTCTAACCCACCACAGCTTTTGCTGGCAGTTGCTTGCCATTTTTTTTTGGTAATGCCCGAAGCTCTGAGCTGAAAGGTCGATAACGTTATTTCATGCATCCCCATGGGTGCCCTCGTTCTGAGGGCCCCCGTAACCCCCCCAAAAAGACAGCATCACAGCTGAACTTTTAAAAAAAAACCACCGTTGGGCCTGATTTTCTCCTCCCTTAGCCAGTTGGGCCTGTGCTCCTCTCCAAGGGCTTCCCGGCCATTTTGCTGGCAGTTGCTTGCCATTTTTTTTTGGTAATGCCCGAAGCTCTGAGCTGAAAGGTCGATACGTTATTTAATGCATCCCCATGCCTGCCCTCCTTCTGAGGACACCAATAACCCCCCAAAAAGACAGCATCACAGCTGAACTTTAAAAAAAACCACCGTTGGGCCTGATTTTCTCCTCCCTTAGCCAGTTGGGCCTGTGCTCCTCTCCAAGGGCTTCCCGGCCATCTCCCGTAGCGTGTTGGGAAAGAGCCAAGCTCCAACCTCACATTGGCAGCCCGGAGACACCTACAGACAACCCAGATAGTTGGGGGGCACCCCAAAACCCCCCCTGACTCCTCTCAGGTTGCCCTGAGCCCACCAGACCCTGGCAGTGATGGTGCTCCTGGTACCTTTCCCCAAAATCCCTCGGCTTTGGGAGCTCTGCTCTGAGGGCTTTGCAAGACCCCGGGGAATGTGATGGTATTAGAAAATCCCCACGTGGACAGTGGAGTAACGAGTTTTGGTGGTGCCCTTGTGCCAGGAGAGGTAGGGCAATTAGCCTCCTTCCAAAAAAAAACCAACCCCCTGCTTGGGCCAGAAAGCACTTTGTGTGTCTGCCTGGCCCATCTCCAGCTCCCACTTCACGCCTGCCCCACAAAAGGAGGGAGTGGATGGATCTCTTTCCCTCTGGGAAGGACACGCTCCCCCAACAAAGCCAGGGTGAGGATTAACCTGGGCTGAGAATATGTTTCCCTCAGCTGGGGGAGACTTCCCCCTTCCCCTGAAGCACCAGGCCAGTTGCCACCCATCTAGGACCTCCTATTTCTCAGCTCCCCCCCCACAAGGAACACGTAGAGCAAAGAGCCAGAGCCGTAGCAGGGACCGGCCAGGAGAGGTTATTCCCTCCTGCCAGCATCAAGTCCCGCACTTGATGGTGCTTTTCCATGTTGGTTTTTTTTTTTGTTTTTTTGGTTTTTTTTAAATTCTTTTCGGTGGGAAGACCTCAGGCCGGTTAGCTGGAGCTGCACCCCCCAACCCCGTTTGGGCTGCGGCCTTCTCCTCCTCGCTGCCCAGCCCCAGCGGCCGGGGAAAGGGGGTCGGAAGCGTGCGCATCCCGCGTGAGTGTCCTGCTTGTACAAGTCACCCTCCTCTCTTGTGTGATGTTTTTCAGAGGGGCTTCTGAACAATGCCAGGGATACAAGTGTCACGGATACTCTACCACTGAATGGTAATCACGGCAACAACAGCTACAGCATCGCCGGCGGCGAGTACCTCAGCAACTGCGTGCAAATCCTTGACCGCGGGTACAACCACACCGAGAACGCCCTGGAGAAAAAAATCCTGAAGGAACTCACCTCCAACTACATCCCTTCCTACCTGAACAACCACGAGCGCTCCAGCGAGCAGAGCCGCAACCTGATGAACAAACTGGTCAACAGCGTGGGCGGCGGGAGCGAGGACGACGCCATCGTGCTGGACGACGCCACCTCCTTCACCCACGAGGAGAGCCTGGGCCTGGAGCTCATCCACGAGGAGTCAGACGCCCCGCTGCTCCCCCCCAGGGTGTACTCAGCGGACAACCACCAGCCCCACCTCTACAGCCGGCGGCGCATCCCCCAAGACAACAGCGAGAGCTTTTTCCCCTTGCTGACCAACGAGCACACGGACGACCTCCAGTCGCCCAACAGGGATTCTCTCTACACCAGCATGCCCGCCCTGGCTGGCATGCCCATGACAGAAAGCGTCGCTGCCAGCACCCAGACCGACCCTCCACCGGCCAAAAGCGGCGGCGACGCCGACGACGTTTACTACAAGAGCATGCCCAACCTCGGCTCCAGGAACCACGTCCATCAGCTACACACGTACTACCAGCTAGGCCGAGGCAGCAGCGACGGTTTTATAGTCCCACCCAACAAAGAGGGAACCCCCCCGGACGGCAATGCAAAAGGACCCGCTCACTTGGTTACTAGTCTATAGAAGATTCAGCAAAAATTAAGCAAAAGAGACAGCAAAAA